ATTCAGATTGGAGCCTGTTTGCGATTCTGTTAATTCAGATTGGAACTTCTGAGCCTTTTCGCGATTATGTTGATTCAGATTGGAACTTCGGAGCCTGTTCGTGATTCTGTTAATTCAGATTGGAACTTCGGAGCCTGTTCGCGATTCTGTTAATTCAGATTGGAACTTCGGAGCCTGTTTGCGATTCTGTTCATTCAGATTGGGACTTCGGCGCCTGTTTGCGATTTGTTTGATTCAGATTGGAACTTCGGAGCCTGTTCGCGATTCTGTTGATTCAGATTGGAACTTCGGAGCCTGTTCGCGATTCATTTAATTCAGATTGGGACTTTGGAGCCGGATCGCGAGTCATTTGATTCAGATCGGAACTTTGGAGAGCGTATAGCGAATCTTCTTTTCTGATTTCTGTTTGATTCAGATTGGAACTTTGGAGCCTGTTCGCGATTCATTTAATTCAGATTGGGACTTTGGAGCCGGATCGCGATTCTTTTGATTCAGATCTGGACTTCGGAGCGCGAGTCATTTGATTCAGATCGGAACTTTGGAGAGCGTATAGCGAATCTTCTTTTCTGATTTCTATTTTTTATTAAACAGTACAAAACATCAAACAATTAATGCAGTTCAGTTATAAAAAGAAAACAAGAAAAAATAAAGAAAGGATGCACAGATAAATCCTTCAAGAAAGTTCACCATGATTTTATTATTGCCTAGTAAAGGTGCCATGGTTTTTTTGGCGAATTGCGAATTACCATTTGTATAACCACAGTTTTACTACAAATACCATGGTTAAACTATGGTTGTCACTGCTTTAGGATTAACAGAAATGTATTCAACTGTGAATAAAGAAAAGAGAAGTTTAGAGCCAAATTTCTGTTTATGTATGTGAAATTTAGCTATCAGGAAACACAAATTAATTAAGTTATATTTTGCTATATTCTCTTTCAAGTAGTCAGACAAAGAAAACATCTTTAAAACTGCTGCTGTAATGTTGTTGATTTTACATAGGCTTAATCAAAATAGTGATATTATTATCTGATGAATATGCTAACATAAAAAAAATCTCTCTTTATGACTTATAAGCATGTTGGTTACCGTAGCTATAAATACAGACTTTAGATGACATGAAACTGTAGTTTAAGGTGATTGGGACATAAGGTCAAATGGGACAGTATAACTACATAATTTATTTTCTCACCTAATGAGTGAAAATAAAAACTATTTTGCTGAGCCCTAGCTGTGAGACCACATAATTAAAATGGGATGGCCTCATTGGTGTGACGTCATGTAGGTGGGCGGGGCAGACATCAAACAGGAAGTTGACCGTGAAATGCATGAACTGAGGAAAATGACATAAGCTTAAGTCTTCATAATAAGGTCATAGTTATACAAACTTTTGATGGAAACATAAATATGATGCACTACTTCTACGAAATCAGTTGAAATGGATCATATTTCTATTTTCAGAATTAGGTTGTTTCTATTTTGTCCCATCCATCCAAACACAATTTGGGTGGATGGGAAAGCATAATGTTGGGTGATTGGGACAGTGCTTAAAGGCTTAGCTAATTAAGAAAATGATTGACCTTGTAATAGGGAACCATTGTATGTGCACTGCATGCCCTAAATCAGTGGTTCCCAACCTTTTTATTTGTGCAAGCCCTAATCAACCACAAAAATATTCACAAACTAGCTAGATTTTGCTAAAAAAAATTCTGAAAATAGATGCATTATTGATAAACATTTTTGTTTGTTTGTTTACTGATTTGGTTGCAGGTTTGTGCAGGTTAAATGTGTTTGTCAAACAGTTAATTGGTGATGGGGCCACCCAAAAGCATTTTTGAAGACCTAAAGCTTTTTATTTTTTTTACTTGTCTATTTGATTTTTAAATGTTTTCAATGACTTTTGGACGCCAAGCCTTCTTTTACCTCAGTTACACGTGTTGTATTGTATGAACTGTGGATGGATTTATGAACTGAGAAATAAAGTTGGACAGAAATAAACATGGACTCTTAATGATGAAAAGAAAAGGTAATATCGCATATAAAATTATACCAAAGTATGAACTAACTTGCGCAATACAGTAAATATTCTTACACTACCCTAAATCAATGAAAATAATGTGCTGCCCCAATCCCCCCCCCAAAAAATTTTTTGGCTCAGTTTACAGAAAAGTGCACACATCCTTTCATTATAACGCAACATTGTTTCCTCCTCAAATCAGAACTTAACATCTTCAGTATTACAGAAATGTATCAAAATGTATCAAATTCAAAAACCGTCCCAATCACACTTAATTCACCTACTATTAGTGGGCTTATATATAGATATATATTTAAAAAATTAAAAAATTTTGGTAAGTTTGAATTAGTACTGATTTTGAGTGTAACATCACTACCAATAGCCACATGTCGACAGCAGGTGGCGCTGTTGCTCTACTGCAACGACACTTAAATACTCCCTTAATTTGTTTCAAACAATTCCTTGAGCTGTAATAAATGAAACACCTGATATTGAGCATTGAGTGAATGCAGTATAATCAGCAGAGGTGGTGAGTGTAGCGCTATAGACGCGCGTGAGGACCAAACACACAGCGGAACGGTACGAAACTTCACTCCTCTTATTATTTCTCTTTCATTATAACGTTTTCTTTCTAGATTCGTGATTTGAGTCTTTCATGGTGTTGTTTCATAAACGTAGTAACTTTGAAATCAGCTATGAAGCGTGCTTGTCAGTGCTTAAAAAACTCATAATAATTTAATAACGTGTTGAATGTATTTGGTCATTAGTACAGAACGGTGTTTTTACATTGAGGTTATTAATATAATATGCTTATATGCACAAAAACTTAGCATTGTACTACTGTGTTGTTGTTGTTGTTTTGGATCATTTAAATATCATAGGATATGATTGATTATGAAATGATTTAAAAGTGTGATCTTATGATGCAGTGCGAGGTGAAAGTTAGGCTGTTAATATAATATAGAGAAAGATCTCATTCTAAACTATTTTTATACTGCATTTATTTAGTTGGTCGAAGTTTCCAGAAAAATGTACCATTGTACTACCATGGTTTTGTTTTTTTTGGACATTTACCTTGGTAGGATCATTTAAATATTATGGTATATGAATATGGTAATCACTCGGTACCATGTTAATGTACTACGGTACAATTCATTGGATTTATATGTTTAAAATACAGACTCTTTCAGACTATCAGAAGTACAGTGAATATTGTGACAAATACAGTCAACAAACTGGCCATGTGACTCTAAATGGCTTATTAATATTCTGCTGGAATTGGACTATTATTATTATTCTGTGGTCAGTTTGGCAGTGTGTGTGTGTGTGTGTGTGTGTGTGTGTGTGCGCTCGTGTGTGTGTGTGTGTGTGTGTGTGTTGAGAGGTCTGTAGTGAACCTCTCAGCCATGTCCACTTTCAAGGGCACTAAAGAGACTACACAGGTGTCGTGTAGGGCACAGTGCCCACCCTGCGCTGCTGGGACATGTTGCCCTGCCAGGCAGCTGTTTGGTGTATTAATAGGGTCTGTGTTCTGCCCGTGTGCTTTCACAACCTCAAAAGAGCTGAACTCACTTTGTGAGTTTTCTTTGTGGCTTTAATCTAACCAGCTACATTTTTGAAGGCGTGCAACTCACCCTCACCCAATGCGATGTGGTTACCAAGGTGCTCTTTGTACAATTCTAGTTGTTATAAGAATATAAGGTACCTTTTTATCTTAACAATGTGGTTCTGTTCCAAAACCTAGTCTGCAGCCTATATAGGACGCATTTTAAGGCATCATAGACATGTTTCCGATTACGCTTGTTTTGGCCAAATTTGAATTAAATATTACACATTCCTTCACAATCGCATAGCAAGGTAATCTTATAATGCACTGCAGCTACACTGTAAAAATGCTACAGTAAAAACCTGTTAAATGGTTAACGGTAAATTCCTCTACTATATACGGTGAAAAACTGTATTGGACATTAATTTGACGGTAGTATACCGTTTTTGGAAGTGAAAAAGACCGTATAATTTACAGTGAATAACCGTAAATTGACATTCTCAGAATTCCCTGCGTTACATTTCAAATTTGATGTTTTTTTGTTGAAATAACTATGTTTCTTCTTAGTTTTTTCTTATCAGTTTTGTATATTAGGGTTGTGTGTTACACCTAATGTTGTTAAATGAATGTTTATTGCATTATTTCAGTGTCATGTGTGTTACCGTGATGGTGTTTAGTGTTTGTGTGAACAACACCGTGCACCTTCTATATATGTTATTATTTAAAAGCTGCTTGTGATGGGCTTTGGTTCATCGTGTGACTTTCTCATCACCTCCTGCATTTGGTGGTTATCAGTGTATTACAAAGCTACAAAACAGATTTCAGTACTTCAATAGGTTGGTATATTAACATTATATCAGTTAATGAAATTACGGTATTTAACTGTAAATTTAAGTTAAAACAGTAAAACCTAAAATGTTGCTACCGTTTACAGTAAAATTCCGGCAACCACAGCTGCTGGTTTTACAGTGTACTGTGTGGGAAAAAAGAGAGAAATGTTGATTATAAATGTGAATAATAATTGAATACTAATATATACTAAAAATATTTGCTCTAAAATAGGGATGCACGATATATCGGCCACCATATCGGTATCGGCCGATAAATGCTCATTTTTTCTGTTATCGGTATCGGCCTGATAAGAAAATTTGGCCGATATCTTAAAGCCGATAAATAATGCATTATTTCCTTCAGAGACACTTCAGATGCGCGCTGTTCGTTTGCAGCCTTTTGTGCAATTGTACATTGTAATATTGTGTTTATTTGATGTATATCTGATTTATCTCATATAGAATGCGTTTGGTTAAGTTAAAAGAGCGCTTCAGTTTACCGGTGATCGTCTTTAGCTCAGCGCACGCAGCTCAAACAGCAGTGCACAACATTAATAACTATGATTGGGAATGTCGTGTATATAACATTCTAATGAGAACATTATTATAATAAAACGTTGTGCATTCTTTGGGTTTAGTTGCCGTGTTTCAGCGCGTTGTTATGGGAAGAGCGCATCCACAACAGGATCACACATTCTGACTATAGCACGCAATAACTGCATCATTTTGTACATATATAAGTTGTAATATTATGTTTATTTTGTATTACTATTAATCTCAGGATGCATTTCCTTGAGTTAAATAAGCTGCCAGCAAATGCTTCAGTTTACCGTGTTCATTCAGCTCTTCAGCTTCCGCACGCGCAGCTCAACGTCTGCTATTTAAAACAGTGGTATTAATTTTTTACTTTTTCAAAATCATTGATATATTATTAATAACAACAACCACTTGTATTTTTCTCTTATTTCTCATTAACAATATGGTTTAGTAATTAAAATCATTTAATTATTGTCCGTGCAGAGGCTATTCTGTTTTATTGATCTGTGGCGCATTCATTTTGATTCTTTACACGTGATGATGTCCAGTGACTTGTTTGCATTATTTATGCATTATTTTATTAATTTGTAAGACTTTTTTATGACTAAATTTGGTAATGGGAGAGTAAAAATATTTTTAAAACGTACACCGTTCAAACTAGGCTGCTTATGTTGAAGTGTTTGGAATGTGGCTTTTAGTGATGAGACCTTTTTTGTAATTTTGTAAACAATTTGGATATAGATTTATCGGCCAACATATCGGTTATCGGCTTTCAAAAATAAAGAATAATCGGTTATCGGTATTGGCCAAAATTTTCATATCGGTGCATCCCTACTCTAAAACTTTTCATTTTTATTTATGTGTGATCGAATTATGATTATAAATCAAATTCAGTCAAATTTATGTTTTCTCCATTTTGTTTATTAATATAAACAAAAAATGTTCAGTCTAATTAATCATGGACTGTTGTGTACAATATTTTTATGCTTGTTAGACTTGCTTGTGTTAATGCTGATGTCTATTGCAATCATTGCTTCAAGTGAATCGCATCAGCTTCACTAATGAGGTCTGATTTGAGTTGGTATGCATCTGCTCATGTAGGGAGCTCACTAGGGTTTGGAACAGAACCTCAGTCCGGCTTAGATGCTGTTTCATGCTGTATTCTGAGTGTTCCAGATGTGCTTCCTTGATCTCCATATAGGGAGATTTCACAGTTATAACAGGTCAAGGTCTCTCATTTGGCTCAACAGATCACTGTCCCGCAGCCAAACACCATCCTGGAGAATCAAACCAGACCCTAGACAGAATCTGCTTGACCAGTTAATAATGGCATACCCTGTATCAGAGGCTAAATCACTAAATATTGACAATGCAATGGCACATATTATATTTTTCTAACTTCAGACAAACTGCCACCAGTTGGAACCAGCTGATAATTACTTCCTTTGATTCCATACGACTAACAGTCACACAAACTGATCTTATTTTAATGATGCAAAGATGTGCACCTTTATAGTTTCAGTTTCATTTTAATTTTAGTTACATAAAATTAAAAGGAAAAGTTAAAGGCCTGTTCACACCAAGACCGATAACTATAAAGATAACTATATTAGCGATATCCTCTGTTTATTCCAAGCGCACGCTCGTCTGACGCTTTAAATTCTCGACCTCGTTATGGCAGGATTGATTCTGACTGGCTGTCAATGTTTTTATCGTTCATCAGCTGGAAGAAATAGTCTGAAAGTGATTCCAAAGATATCGTTTCTCTGTGCCTTTATCGTTATAGCTGTGGTGTGGACTCTGTCATTTTTTAATATTGAGAACGATTTTTAGAACGATATATTTATCGGTATCTTCATAGTTATCGTCCTTGGTGTGAACAGGCCTTTTAGAATCAAATATAAAATAAAATCTATGCAAATATAAAATAGAAATAGAATCACGAGATTCCAAAAGATTCCCACCACTACTACCAACCACTCAGAACATCCTGTCAATGCCCTACCAACCACTCAGAATACCCTGACAACACCCTACCAACCACTCAGAATACCCTGACAACACCCTACCAACCACCCAGAACACCCTGACAACGCCCTACCAACCACCCAGAATATTCTATCAACCACTCAGAACACCCTGACAATGCCCTACCAACCACCCAGAATACCCTGACAACACCCTACCAACCACCCAGAACATTCTATCAACCCCTCAGAACACCCTGACAACACCCTACCAACCACTCAGAATACCCTGACAACACCCTACCAACCACCCAGAACACCCTGACAACGCCCTACCAACCACTCAGAATACCCTACCAACCACTCAGAACATCCTTTCAACGCCCTACCAACCACTCAGAATACCCTGACAACACCCTACCAACCACCCAGAACACCCTGACAATCACTCAGAACACCCTGACAACACCCTACCAACCACGTACCGTTTCCGCACTCGCTTGACTCGCGCCTGCTGCTGAAGTGAAGAGGAGCGCTCGTCTGAAACGTCTGAAACAGATAAACGTTCTTTAATCTGAATAAATGCACTTTTGTCAAGAGAAAAAGTGACAGAAGCAGCAGTTGTGAGTGTGGTGGCTAACCCCACTATATATATATATATCAACACTGCGCCACTGGCGGTAGTTGGTCCATTACCAC